TCATTGAGAAATTAAAAATTATAAAAGCATCGAAGAAAGAATCGAAATACCTTCTGAAAATTAAAAATTTTAAATTGTTTCTGCTGTTGCTGACATCATTCATTCAAAAGGTCGCAAGAGCATCAATACTCCACAATAGTACTAGAATGCATAAAAACTGTGCTTTGTGGTAGAATGAACATTGCGAGCATATGGATGAAACCGCAACGACCGTATGGTCTAACGCATTTGAGTATTATCAAAATTGCTCTTAGCGAATTGCATTAAAACTTTACAGCAAGCAAACAGAATGAAATTCACCACCGCATGTAGTTTTCATGGATCCGGTTAGTTTTGCCGCTAGTAAGGTAGACCCAGCTGATTTGCGAGACGTTGTAATAACGACTTTTATTTCACTTAATAATTTTATATGAAACCAATTTTTTTATTTTTGCCATAGCTCTTCAATGATATTATGTCTTCTTCGGTGTTAAAAAATTCCTTGAACTATTTTTTACAATACGTTTTTGATAACTCATTTTATTTGCTTCTTCCTGTTCTTGAGCATCTTCCTCACTTTCTTCTGTGCTCCACATAGGTCGTGATCCATATCCCATATAACTTTTGCCCAGTAATTTCGTTTTATGGCTTTGATTCTGGCGTTGATTCTGTTTCTCACTGCATTTAGTTATTCTCATTTTCTATCTTTCTCAATGAAAATATAACACTCTTAAAGACATTTTTAAAACAAAGAAATAGGTTACCCGGCGTCGAAACTTCTGAAAATTAAAAGAAAATAACAACAATAATTTCTTAATGTTCGATGTGGTATTTAGAAGACCATCCCACAATTTCTAAAGTATCGGTTCGGGGTTGATCAGAACAATCAGCGAATGAGTGGGTGGAGATTTTGTCACTTAGATACGCACTGCGTTCGTTGACATTTTTGTCTGTTGTGTTCTTCCATCTTTCGAGGTCGAACAACCTTTGGAATTCGCCTATATAGAATTCTTGTAATCTATCACTTTTTAGGAAATATGAAATGGAGTTCTAATTATAAAAGTGTTGTTTATTGCGGATTAGAATTAGTTCCATATCTGTTGATGTTTTAGGCATTTTATTCACAGTACCTGCTACCAGAAGAAACTCAGGACGCACATTCCTTTTCTTCACTAAAGTTTCCGAATATTCAAAATTTTTTCTCCGAGCAAGGCTTCCATGTATGCAACTCTCTTTCTGGACCTAATTTACATAATTTCGCTTAATTTTATAATAAAAAATTAAAGCTATATAGAAGGTAGAAAAAATATTTTCCAGATAGCCATTATTGAAAAAAAATTATAATGTTTGAAAAATGTCTGTACTCACACGATTTTACTGGGACTTTCAGGGATTAGAAAGGGAGTGCATCCGCGAAAAAGGCTAATAATACCACGGTTAACTAAAACAATTACCTATGAATATTTTATCTATGACCTTAGTGTCATAATTATTTCTAATTTAAAATATTCGAATATGGAATATACTTTACTTATAAAATTCAATAATAATTAATGAGTGCGTATAGCAGAATTTCTCAACGTCCAAATTTTTAAAATATATCGAAAAATACGACTGTTTCCAAACCCGTGACTATAATACCCAAGTACCGAGCCACAATGGTTAAAAAAGCTGACGTCTTAAAGTGACACTCACAGCCTGAGCAGAAGAGAATAATTTTCGGCTCATTTTAGTAGTAATTGGTTTTCATACGGCGAATAGCCTCTCTTAATAAAACAGCTTTGCACTTGACTGGGTTAAAACGTCTACGAAATACTAATAAATAACACGTGTCATAATATATTCTTCAGGAGGTTTTCATTTAAGAGGCAAGACCGTAAATTGAATTCACAAAAACACAAAAATTAGCCAATCACATATTTTTCAATATTCTTGGCTCAGTAGTTTTCGAGACACCGGCCATATCATGAAAGAACTGATTTATTTTATAACGCCGGAAATGGTTTAGAATCTTATTATTAAAACATGCTTTGCTGCTATCTCCTTTACCTGTCCATGCGATGCTTTTAAAACATCAGAAATAGACCTTAAGGCAATCAAACGAAGTAATTTACAGAACGTACTATTAGGATAATTAGTCATATTTTTGAAGTAAGTATTTGACTTTATTTACTATTGCAATGTAGAGTATTATTTGAATTTGAATAAGCACTTTAAGTGCGGACACGTACAAGTGATATGCCTCTCAAGATGCCAGATGAAATTTTAGTGAAACTTCAGGCAACCGATCATAGAATCAAACAGCGAACCGAATGTACCATTTTTATTTTACATTCAGTGCTCACAGGTAGTGAGTGATAAATTAAAGTATTTAAAAGATTAGTGAAAGCAAATTTTCGGGAATAACTTCAATCAGTGACTATAGGGATACTTATAGGAAAGTGGTATAGGGGCAATAACTAAAAACCGTAAAATAGTTAGGTACAGATGGGTTTATTTAAAAAATTCAGAGAAACATTATTTTAACCTGCGTCAATTTGGCAAGATCTTGGAAAACTATATGAAATAATTATTTTAAATGCTTTACTGAACTCTCAATCATACAGTTGTACATATATTGTAAAGATTGGGAGCATATTTTTTCAAAATATATTTTACTTTGTGCAAATTAGATCGAATTGTCCTGTTAAAGTTCAAAAAGCCATTATATAACCATTTCTTGCAAGAATATTTATATTCAAAAATACATATCAATATTGTCTTAAAAAAATGATTTCCATATTGCTACAGTTTTACGGAACACCCTGTATAATTGAAAATGTTTTTAGGTCGTTCCATTTTATTCAAGCTGGTTAAAACAGTATTTCGAAATCGTGCTAAATACGGGAGATATTGTACTTAGTCCCACATTACGTCGAACTTTCATTTTCAGCGAACAAATTTTCGGAAAAAACATGCCAACTGGGGGTTCACCAATGTTTATGGCATTGCATTTGTTCTGCTTCTAACCTCTTTGCCGTCCCTTCTCATACAATTTAGCTAGAATTTTTCTCGCGTTCCTTAGTAAGTTGACGAAGCCTTTGAAACCGTGTTACTATCCCTCTGAGGGGAATATAAAGAAGGCAGTATTTTTAATGTTGAAATCTTCTTCAGTAGCTTCTGCTTTTTTTTCGACAGTCGATTGCCCTACTAAAATTGAATACTAAAGGCTCGACCACACCTTGGTGTGGTTCACAAAAATTTTTATTGTTATAGATTTTGGAAAAATAGTACGCAATAGCCCGATAATGGTATAGATATATATAGTAATGGCAAATAATCAATGGATGATAAAAAGAATACAAAAAATCAATAGATATATTCATAATTAAAATTTTGGATTTGTGGCTTTGCAAATAAAAAAAAGGAAAATTAGAAATATATATATAGAACATATTTAAATTTTAATAGAATTTTAAAAAACGAGTCATTCGGAAAATTAAATGTTTTAGCGGGACTTATTTTTGGACAATTTTTGGGATTTCTGGAATAAGATAGATAGACAATAACTACACAAAATCTTTTAAAGTTTGATACACGGCTGCTCACTGCTGCGATATTCTTTTATATTTCTTCAGGTGTTCATTTTAGAGAAAATTTTCAATACAAAACTTGTTTCTATGAAAGTGCTCCATGCAATGAAAACAGTTGCTATTATTTAGGGATATCATAAATCCCTCAAAGCACCTATCTTTCTTATTTTAAATAGAATACGTGGAATATTAATCAATGCGATTTTCCGAGTCATCAAGCTTTGGCTTGTTGATTTTTATACCGAAACGAGGACTGTAGCGGTACTGCTCAGTACTTTCAAACCTAACAGACCAACGAACCAAAAACAACAGACCACGATCTACCGGCCCGTAAAATGGCATTGATTATGACAAACGTAAAAGTCAATTACCATGCATATTAAACATCTTTTAATTTTTGAGATTTTATGGTAGGTTCGTTCAGCGTTCCGTACCCCTATTTTGACAATTTTACCAGATGTAAGATTATTTTGAACAAAGCGCCTGTTAATCAGTTTGATGATTGATGTTAAGAATTGATTTATCGTTTATAGAGTGTTGAAAATATACGTTGGACTGTTTGTGACCTACTTAAAAATGCGCAGCTGATTCTAGCACTATAGATATTAAAAGTTTCCTTCTAAAAGGATCGACCAAAATCACATTCTAGTTTTAGCAATAACAATAATAAAACGGTGCTATTTGAGCTAAAGAGCAGTTTAGAAAATGCTACCTTTATGAAGCAATTTCAGTAATTTCAAATAAAAATAATACTTGAACAAAAATAACATAAACCAAATTGACGAGCATCAACTTCGGAGTTCATTTTAGTTAATGTATATTTTAGCAATGTTTTTGGTTTTATTTAAGTCAAACCAGTTAAGAGACTGAGGAGTTGGCTTTCCGTGTAACCATTTGATTTTCAACATTATTGGAATCACTGTCACCCTTTCACCATTTTCAACTGACGATAAACGCTTAAGTAATAGACAGATATACAGGAGCAATTTAGATTCAAATTTGAACCAAAGATAAACGGCCAACGAGAAATTACACAAGTTCACGTCAGTCTCAATTAAACTCCAAAGCGAGAACACCACCTTATCGTTGACCGCGGACTCATTGAACTCCGCCAGAGTTTCGTGTGTCTGAGCCCTTAAGGATAAAACATAATCAACGTCGGAAAACCCACAACGCACAATCACAGCGTGTCGAGTTCCGAGTGGGCAGAGTCGTTCGACCTTCAGGCCCGGATCAGTCCAGGACACAACAACCTCACAATCGAAAAACTCTAAAGTCTATCTCGTTACAATCTCTCCATTCTCTACCTCGTGTCACGTCTTTTTCGACCACTTTTTATCGCCACAAAGCTCCGCGGCAAGAGTGACGGCGCGCCCACCGCCACCGAAGGCACAGGCATGAGCGGTGACCTTCCACCACCGGGGAGGCGGCAGTGTATCAGGTGACGGAATAAGGGTCGGACGTTTCGCGTGCAGCGGTAAAAATTCTCGGGGTTCGTCGGACGTGCTTTCTCCGCATCCGAACCGACCTGCTCTATTCTCTAATACATTATGCATCGGGAGCTTCTTGGACAACTGTCAGTTAAACGTGGCGATATTCATTCGAGGGTCGTAGAGCCCGCATCTCAATGCGACCGCAACGTTGAATAGAGAATTCGACGCGAACTTGTCCAAGTTAAATTAAAGTGTGTGTGGGGCGTTAAGAAAACAAAGGGGACGATCGTAGGTATTCGTTTCTAAGCAGGGTGCCTAGCTAGGAAGGGTCTGTGTTTAAAGTTGAGTTGTCTGGAGTGATTTCTGAATTTTAATGGATTGCGTTGCCGAGTTGATTGCTCTGTGACTGTCGAAGGAAAAAGGTAATTTGTTTTCTAACTTGGATGCATTTAAAAACCTATTATTTTTTACAATCAACTGCTCCCGACGGAGTGTTGTATGGGATGATACCTCAGAAACTGTAAAAAATATCAACGAAACGTATTGATTCACGGATGGAAAAATGTGATGACACTATATTCCGGGATATCATCCGTTCGCTCTTTGAACTCCGACTGGAATCCTGCAGACGTTTCGCCAAAATCTCACTTGGCATCTTCAATGCTCGCGCTCCGAAAACATGCAGTGTTCGAAGTGTTTTCGGAGCGCGAGCATTGAAGATGCCAAGTGAGATTTTGGCGAAACGTCTGCAGGATTCCAGTCGGAGTTCAACGAGTGAACGGATGATATCCCGGAATATAGTGTCATATATGTATATAATATATATATATATATATATATATATATATATATATATATATATATATATATATATATATATATATATATATATATATATATATATATATATATATATATATATATATATGTGTGTGTGTGTGTGTGTGTTTTTGTAGGCAAATAGCAACAGTCTTATTTTAAATGTAATTCCTTATATATTAAGGCACAACAACCTTAAACGATAAACATTAAAAATTTGAATTGTAAAAATATTTAAATGCTGTTTTTTTTTAAACGGAGAAACAAAACACTATTCTTGTAATTTTATCATGTTTGGCATTAAAAAAACATATCCTATTTCAAAAAGTTATAGATTTCGAAATATTGGTACTAAAACTTTTTTGCATTGTAAAAATGCCAAACTACTAATAAAAACATTTAGATATTTTGTAAAGCATATTTTTGGTTGAAAACCTACAAGAAACAATGATGATAAATGATCCAATGAAAAATTGAAAAATGTTTGAACTGTTACAAATCATATACTACTATAAGAAAATCAACCCCAAATATATATGTACATAACAACAGCTTCCAGTTGCAGAAATCGATACATATATTTTTATCGAGAAAAAAATCATTTTTCCAAAACGGTATATACGATCTAAAAAATTCTTGAACCAAATGACGCGCAAGATCCGGACCAAAAACCTTTATTCTTGATGATTTTTAAAAACGCACAGTTTGAATCGGTAATTTGCAAAAAACTGAAAATTGAGCTCCCTTTACGTCGGTAATTGACCATAACTAGAAGCCTGTGATTCCGTTTCAATTTCTTTCATATTTCTATATAGCCCATATGGACAGCTAAAACTTTTGTATTTAAGGTTTTCACATATGGTGAAAGTCCGTACGCACATCTAAACAGTAGAAATTGAGCGTAGTGAAATGTCACCAAATATATTTTTTTAAAATTTAAAAAATTTTCTTTGCTTTTTTGTCTTTCAGGAAAACAAGAGTTTCTCAAAAACTATTATTCAACTGATCAGCAAAATTTTAGAGCCAGAAAATGCGGGAGATCTGGAGCTATGACTTTTATTTTAGACATTTTTTTGATTATATACAGGGTTTTTCAATTGTGGGCAAAAATCTAAAAGAAAGTGAAAATTGTACTTTTTGGGAATAAATTATTAACCGCAAATAAAAATTCGAAAAAAATGTGGCCGATCCGTTCAAACAGTGTTATAGGCTGCATTTTTCGAAAACTATTTACTCTAATGAAAAATTTCACATACGAGGAAACGTGGGAGATCCAGGGCTAAAACCTCTATTTTCGGCATTTTTTTTTTCAAATTTAAAGTTTAAAAGTTATTTTCCGAGAGGATTTTAACCAATTTTTTTTGCAATTTATCTTACTTTCTAAGCACGTCCGAATCTATGCTTATATTAACATTTTTTGAGTTTTCTGGGTAAGCGTAAAGCCGCATTGAATGCTAAACCCGATACAACCCCACAGGCGACACCAAATTTTCTGCCTCTTCATCTTGATCGTAAATAAATATATAATAATAAATAATGAAAAAAAAGCACAAAATACAAGGAAACTAATTACTCGCACATGTACTCTAAAGAAGCTAATTTATTGTTTATTATAAGCTCTGCGCATGAATCAAAAAACAGTCAACAATCTTGCGAAGATTGATATCACATATTTCTGAAACAATATTGAAGTTACCACACATAAACAAAATCGACGACTGATATAAAACATTTTCCTAGGTGTAAGGAGATGAAATGTAGTGACAAATCTGGGGACGTAAAATTTTATTCTCCTTAAAAGCCACTCATGGTACGGTGAACGTACAATACAAAAGCCCATACAGAAATTTTAAATGAATTAATGTCCCTCATAACCTCCTGGGATCCTCTGTGAGGATATATATTATCTAATACTAATTGCTCAATATGTGGTATAAAACAAAGTCTGGAATTAAAGACAAGTCCCTAATGGGAAAATAGGAATAACTTTGGCAATTTTCCACAACTCAGGAAATGCACACACATGCACTGAAAAATCTACCAAACGCATCTACTATGGCTTGGGATTCCTTAAAAGCCTGGGATTCTTGAGCTATTTCGATTGAATATATAACCAACATTTTTACAGATTACCTCGAATATTCAATTCGATATTACTTAAGTACTCCCTATATGTTTTCTCCGCTTGAGTTTCAATTTGACGCTTAAGTATTTTAAATCTAGATAGCAACAAAAGGCTGTAAGAACGAACAAATTTTTGTCTTACTCAAAGATTTTTAAAGTAATATCTCTAATCATCGACGTCTTTTGACTTTAAGTAGATCGCACGATTGAAAAAAGTTATTAAGAGTATCATAAAAACAATTCAAGGACTCATCCGTGTCAGAAACATCACAAACAGGTGACCAATCCACTCTCAACAGCTTACATTACATTCGTTAGAGGAAAATTTGCTTTTCTAAAGTTAAAATCTTCCATGGAGTTAGAACACATGCCAATCTGTACGCTAATCAACAGTAAGGGCTGAAGTGGTACAGGTGTAACTCGTCTCTTTCAACAGAGCAAGGAGTGCTCGAAAGGACAAGATCCAGCAAACGCCTTATGGTATTGCACACATTGTTATATTGTTTAGGTCCTGTTGCTTCTGAAAAATAAATTGTTAAAGTAAATTGAAGGTCATTAGATGCATTCAAAAAGAAGCTGAGAACGTTGAAGTCGCCGAGAATTATGTTATTTTTACTGATATCAATAAACACCGAAAAGCACTAAAAGAACTACTCAAAATCATTATCCGGTACTGATGGTGATATGTGCAAAACAAAAATATTGAACTGAAAAGATCGACCCACAGCAACCTTGCAACCGACAAAATCAACATTGCATGTTATATATTCAAAGGATTTACGAATTTGAACTTTTAACATTTCTAACGATTATCATCCTTTGACTCACGAAATCATTACTTTATATTTTGCGATACACATATTGCGTTATATTTCGGCAGGCGCGTTTATCCTTGAGTAGCTATATAAATTTATGTCACAGCAGCTCCGAATGATCGTTCCCATGACGACGTTTGTCATGGAAAATGCGTTGGAAGACGTATCGTATTGTATATCGATGTAACGTAGACCCTGCGATAATTTGACAGTATAAGCATAGTCATAGCTCGTACAAGTGCTCCATCTACATTAATGATTCGGGATATGTTAACTTTAATTATAAATAATACCATATTTATTTTGATCTCTGCGATGGTCAGCTGTTAGCATATAATAAAAAATATAATGCTTTTGGGATTTCAATCAGGCTACCAATTTTACCTTGCTGCTGTAATTAGAAGCTTAACTAAAACACAAAAAGTATGTGGGGTGGCGCAATAGTGCGACAAAGTACCTACAATATTTTCTGTACTTAGCAAAATTTCGAAAAAATATTTTAACGAGTGTTGCATGAAATCTAAAGATCCACGTTAGAAATACTTTTCGATTCTACAAGGTGTTTCGTACAAGAGGGGCAATACTTTTTTTTTAATGTAACCCTACTTGCACTCCAAATACATGACAAAGTAATTCTTTTTCAATTTGAATGCGTTGTTGCCAAGTTGGGAAAAATAGAGAACACTTAAAAAAAGATGCTATATTCTTCTCTATGTCCCCATGGTAAAGTGTACGGGATCTTACCATATCAAAAATGGATCATAAAATAGTCAAATGTAAATGCAAACCTTCAAAACTTATTTAAATATTAAATTCAACAAAATTATAAAAATGGTGTTTTTTATTGGAAAAACTCATATCATACATTTTTTTAGATCTTTTTTATCCAATTTTAAGACTACTTTTTGATCAGCTGGTATTAATTTATTTTTAAAATAATACAGAAGACTAAACTTGCTCCCCTCCTATAAGCAATTTAACTCCAAATATATAACAACTACTCCTAAAAATATCATTGTAATTTGAAACTTGAACCTTTTACTCCCTACTTGCCTCACATGAAACACCCCGAATGTGTATACGAAGTAAAATATGACGAGTTATTTTATACTTCCGCGTCCCTAGATATATTCCGTACATCTGAAATTTAATTAAATCATTAGATGAGGAGGATTTATCCAGAATGTGAAATTAATAAAATCAGTCCGTTTTAACGGAATATTTCGATTTAATTAAGAGTTGCTTGCGTTACAGTTTCAGAGAATTCAGGTTAATTACCGCGAAAGCAATTGAGTAAAGGAAGGAAATGTAGAATTATATTGACTTGCTTATTGAGCTGGTTCAGAAGCAGTGATAATATTTTTAGGAAATTAAAAAGGTTTTGACAAAAACTTTTATATGTAATATGCTCCTATAAGTTGGTGTGGTGTCGGTAATGTCAAGAATAACGGAAAACTTTCCGAAATTTGATATTGCGGAAATAAACAATATTTGCAACCGTTTATTTTCATATGTTATTTAGTCAATAAATATTGAGTGTTTGATAGTAGTCTGCCAGTTAACTTCTTGGCATTAATTATACAATGTAGATGCAATACACTCTAAATTATATAATTCACTGTGTATTGCAATTATGTAATTCATAGTGTAGAAACTAAAATGAA